AAACATAAGTTAGTTTTCTATTGTATATACACATCCTTTTGTTCAGAACAACCTTATTTTATTAAAAGAGATTTAGCTGTGCTTTACAATCCTGCTTCATTTCTTCCACGACAAGTTTTTTGTGAGATTAACTCGACACATTTATTCCCTTGATAATATATCCTGTCCTCTCAGATATCATTGCCAATTTCAAGTACGTAGCAATAAATAGGCTTAAATTTTTTAAAAGTAATGACTTGAAAGGCCCTTCAGTTCCCATACTTTCTTGTTACAACAGATTTCACTTCGCAAGTAATGTAGTAACATTTCAGTTCAAGTAAATGTAAAGTATTAAAGCTTTCACCAGACCTAGATCCCCTCCTCTATCACAATTCAAGAATTCCAGGATATAACTCAGTTCAAAATTGGAACTTTAGCATATATAAAATGGAAGTTATTTGATTAGCCTTTAAAAAAAAAGAATTAACATGCTATCCCTATATAATTATGAATCCTGTTTCACATTAAAAAAACATGACTGAAGATCAACTGTGCAACTGGGTAATTAAAATTAAGCTGTGGCAACTATTTTGATAGTATTCAGTATAAATCAAACAATTATTCATGCACTAGATCCTAAAAACCCAGACATACTAAATAGGAGGAGGTTATTGCCTCATTCAGTGTGTCAAAAATAAAATTACTTGACTCTCCAACCAGACAGTAGTCTTGGTACTCACTGGAGACAAAAAATTATATGCAATGAGAAATTTAATGAATCTTATTTTTATAAATAAACCCTCTAAAATTCTTTCTTCATTGAGTTCAGTACTAATGTTGATGGGCATATTAAGTACAACTCCAGCATATTTCTTGGAAATGCATTCAAATAAAGTATGTTGTTTTCTAAAAAGCATATAATTCATCCAGTTTGTGGTAAAGCAAAACACTCAAAAATCCAGCTAGCTTTTGAAAATATTGGTATATTTGATGATACTTCCTTACTGAAGAGCAAGATGTTTACTTGGTTCTTAAAAACCGTTCTTTGACATCACTAGCCCATCAAAAATCCAGTAACTACAAACCCAGCTTTCAAATCAGGGTTTGTTTGCAGTTTAGAAAAGTGTAAAATGGTAGATAAAGTAAATGCTCTTTGGAATTTAATTTTCCTATTAGTTTAACAGTAATTATTATATCACCAATGAAGCTCTATTAAAAAGATAGTTTACCAAGGAAATAGGATTTTAGCTTGTTTCTATGAAACTTTCTTAACACTCCACCTACTTAAATATTTGTTGGGAATCAATAATTATACAACATTATAGCATTTGTTTACTTAGCTGTGAAAACACTGAACAAAACCTGGAAGATCTTTCTTTAATACTCTGTCTATCTTTATTCTGTGTTTATATATATAAAAAGTTTCCATTCAAAGGGCTTTAGTCTGAATCTGTTCTTACAAACATGTAGCCTAAAAGGCATAAGGAAATACGGATTTATACTTGCAAGTAAATGACTCACTTTTAAATAAGATTGGGGGGATTCTCTTGTAACTATAAGGTATAACTATAAAGAGAAGTCCTATGATAATCCATTGTATTTTATAGTGTGAAAGATTTAGAAGGGTAGAGAGTTGAAGATGAGCCACGCCCTTCCTTGCACTACATACAGTAAGATGACCCTTCCTATACTATGATGACCTCTGCTAATCATAGAAGTCAAGTAAGCACGAAGAACATTTTCATTTGAGAATGGGGAGCAAGGAAGACTGTTCCATATTGAAACTGCTTCCCATACAAGAATTCTGTTTTAATCACCTACCACCAATATTCCTTTCCTCACTTGTCAAGTTCCCAGTAGCTTGGTCTCAGTACTTTTCAATTAGGCCAAAGAATTGAATCAGTACGTCTTTAAGACTTAACTATCACTCAGACTAATTGAAGTATTGGATTAAAGCATGCTGATCTCATAGATGCTTGTGATGCAAGCTGCTGCTGCAGATAGATTACTAAATATTTAAAACCTCTAAAGATAAACTAGCAGGATTATAAATCACTGAAAAATAAATAGCTAGCAGAATCTCTGCAAATGTCTTCTGGATACTGACATATATACTTCATTCATTTTCTAATGAGAAATGTGAAGGGTTTTTATTATTAATTGCATACAAATTACCATGATTACTGTATCACAGGAGAAGTATTTATCCATTCACCTCTCAGAGGAACAATGCTGAATAAAGGAATTTATGCATGACACATAACAATGCTGAACAAAGGAATTTCTGGATGCCATATAAGATGTTTGGCACTTAGAGTAATGGAAGAAAATCAAAAGGAATATCATAAATCTTTAATTGTAGGAAATCAAAATAATCTATTTGCTTGCCAAGTTCTCAGTATTGTTTTAGCAGGAACATTACTTTGGAAGTGCAAGCTCTCCTTAATATACATATCTGTATGTGCACCCATCCCACCCCACACAATTCCCACAGGTTTGCTGCAAAATTAACCACATTTGAAAATTGCTAATCAGTGACAGAGAACTCTGCAAGCACCCTTGGGATGTGCTTTGAGTACTTAAAAGGGAAAAATAAACATGGTTTTATTACCTACTTTTGGAAAATAATTATTTGTATTCATCTAGATAGTTCTCCATACTGCCTTATTGTTTAATTTAGGGCATTTAAAAAAAAAAGTGCTTAGCAGTTGAAGGGCCTACTGACTTCAACTGGAGCTACAAGGGCTCAGCATTTCTGAGAAACAGGCCCTGAAAATGGTGATGTGAAGATGTGGAGAAGCCGTCAAAAACTGCCACAGTATATCTACACAGCAACTAGACACCCACGGATGGCCGGTGCCAGCTGACTCGGGCTCACGGGACTGTTTCACTGCTGTGTAGACGTCTGGACTCAGGCTGGTGTCATAGTTCTGGAACCTTCCCACCTCGGATGGTCCTAGAGCCCAGGCTCCAGCCCGAGTCCAGACGTCTACACAGCAGTGAAACAGCCCCAAGCCCCATGAGCCCAAGTTAGCTGGCACGGGCCAGTTATGGGTGTCTAGCTGCTGTGCAGGCATACCCCTCATGCTAAATGCTCAGCTCTGATATGCAATTGTTTCAAAATCAATAATACCACCACGATGCAAGGCATCTAATTTTCATATCAGCGTTCACCTTCTGACAACAGAATCAGAGCATTATTTAATTAGATAATGTAACTCCTGGTTTAAGTCTCATCAAAAATTTGTTAAACCTAAATATCTTCAAGGTAATGTGTGTGAAATGCTAAAAATTAATCTTGAATGCTTTTTGACACTTCACTTTGCTAACAGAAAAAACACTGCTTGTGGGTTTTTAGACCTCACCATTATTATCAACTAAATAGGAGATTTACAATATTCTTGCTGACGTAAAAGGGTCAGAAGGGAGACGAGGAAGTAAGAATGTTGTTATTAAGGGTATTTCTATTATCTTTCCAGGGAAACGTTTTATAAGCATGGAGCAATCATGGTAAATAACAAAAAACAAACAAGGAAAAAAATAGCAGACAAGGGAGAAAATCTTTGCTATTACAATAATGTCTCTCGCAGAATCAAGTCTCCTAGGAATATTGAGAAATTTAAACAAGCCAGATCTCTCTATTTACACATTTATTCTTAAATTTTGGCTTTTAAACCAAGGGCCAGAATAAGCATCTGAAAGCTATAGACTCTCACTGTGCTTTCTCTATTTAGCTTCTCCACCTATCTTCTCTCCTCTCCTCACCAGTTCAGTCTCTCCCTGTTTCCCATCTTGAACGGACAGTTACCTGGCTCTCCTCCTCCCTCTGCTGACACCCTTTCATAGGGTGGCTGATTCCCTCACTCCCTGGCTCCCCCCGATTTCTCATCAAACACACATTCCTTCTCTTCCTCCAAAGTACATGCATCAGGCTCTTCTCTTTCCCCTGTATTACCGTGGTTCATCTCTAGGCCAAATCGTTCTGTGAGGGCTTTAATTCCTGGCTATCTCACTTCCTTTCTCCTCCTAATCTCCTACCCTCAACCCTGGGGGACTTCATCCTCTATATGATGACTGCGCTGATGCTTCCTTCTCACTCCTCCTGGTTGAACCTGCCACCAGGGATCAACTCCCTCATTCACCTCACACCTTTGAGCTTGTCTTCACCAACAACACACAAACGAACAAAGAAAAACACCCTAGTAGCTCATTCACAATCTTTGTTTCCCCTACCCTCCACACTTTGTCTGTTATCAATTGTAATGGTATTCCTAAACTTAGACTAGGTTCTTTGTAGGTAGGAACCATAGAAATATATAATAGACAAATGAGAAATGACTATGCATAGAAGCAGTTCAAATGATTATCTGAAGCAGACTAATAAAACATTTGAATATTGCAGACAGCACACACCAATTTCCCTGTATACTTTACCGCATACTCCAAATCTATCCAACAAGTTTGATTATTTTACTCATTAAAATAGAAGTTTTCATCACAGCCTTAAACATTTGCAAGTGCAGACCAGAAAACTGACATGCGTATTTACTGTGAAGCTTTATATTTGTGTCATCAATTAACAAAAGCTTGGACTAAAACTGAAATAAAAGCTAATCAAAACGGCTAGCTGTCATAACAGATGGATACTATCTATTTTTTCATATCAAGTGGAAAAGCCAAAACTCAGCATTTTAGTGTCATGTCTGTGACTATGAAGAAGCCAACTTAGAAAGGAAGGACAAGAAATGTCAGAATTACATTAAAAATAGACATCTATGGCTGAAAGATTCACATGTGAATTCTCATTGATTCTTTCACACTATGATGGTTAATCCACACAGAAGCTGTCAGCTGATATGTGGTCTGCAAATGAGGTTTCATTGTGGCATTGCATGAAAAATAAATAAAAATCAGAGCCCTAATGTTACTTTAGTCTCAAACAAGCGTTACACTATCTAGGCTGTCTGTCCAAAAAGATGCATAGACAGCCTCCCAGAGATATAAATGAACAACTGCAATACCTTTTTCCCATACTGTTTACAGTGTTGGCTATATTCCTACTGGCAGTGGATTTTCTTCTTGACAGCTTCTTGGTGTTGCTGCTGTCATCGGTGCTGTCATCCTCTTTCTTTGGTGTGCTACTTCCTTTGCTGTTCAGGTCCTTTAGCACATTATAATTAATTTTACTTGAGATTTTCTTCTGTTCCAACATCTTTTCAATTGCCTCTCCTGCTGTGCTAGCTTGAATTGGCTCCCGCTTTTTTGCAGACTTCTTTGGCTTAATTAAAATATAAAATTAGTGATTTAGATACAATCAAAATAATTTTACCAGAACAGAAGGGTGATCTGCAGTGCTGCTGACACTGGTGTTAGATGACCCAGTAGGCGGCACAGTTCACTTGGAGTCAGTACCAAGCCAATGCCCCAGTATGGTGTTTCAGGGTATTGTACTGCTGTAGGTGCCAGGACTGGTATCAGCTGTAAAATGGAGATTCTGGCCATCTGAGGACATTGTAGAGCCCATGTGACTTTTTCAAGAGATAAGGTGTTAGCTTTTGTATCTTTTGCCAAATGTCACCACATGTCATTATGATTGCTCTACTAAATTAATCCCATAGTTGCTGCATTGTTGCCAAAGAGAAACATAGCCTCTTTCCCAAAGGTCATCTACAGGGGGGCGGGGTTGTTCCAGTGACAGGAGAGAGGCTCCCAATACATTTTATAAAATTAACCAAAAAGTAAATATACATTTCCCCCAAAATACTTGTTTAAAACTAGACCCATATTGGGTTATAACTCTCCCTATAGTTAATTTCTGCAAAATGAGGCTCAAAATTACAGCAATACTATTTTGGGGAGCACCATAGGACTCTTGCTCCATGATTCAGTGAAGAAGGCCAACTGTATTACAGAGTTGGCAATCAGTGGGTAAATGGATTGGCATTAATGCTGGCCTCTGACCAATTACACATTCCAGTTAGATGCTAGGCATTGCAGTGATGTCAGTGATGTTCATTTGGAGGTAGTCTTGTGTAGGTCAAAAAGTTGCAAGTCAAAGTTTTTGACTGACACTGTGTGACAGAGTAGGGAGTGGGTCGGATTGACCTGGAAATGTTGCGTGGGAGTGTTACTGGACTGTCTGCATTGGTGATGGGGATATCAGGGTGTGACTTCATTTGAGGGATGATACCTGAGCATGTAACCTGAGCACAGGAGGGGGATGGGGCCAGGTGACACCTTCTGCCCTGGAAACTGGACAAAGGCTGGAGGAGGAGTCGGGGGGAGGCTGGGTGAGATGGCTGGAGGGGGTTTCAGTTTGGAGCTGGCTGGGGAAACGGAGGGAGACCCGGGGCCGGGGTCCAAGCTCCCTGCCCCCCAATATGGACCTGACTGAGGGGGTCCTGTTGTCTGTACCTGCAAGACCTGTTTTGGACTGTGTTCCTATCAGCTAATAAACCTTCTGTTTTACTGGCTGGCTGAGAGTCATGGTGAATCACAGGAAGTGGGGGGTGCAGGGCCTTGTCTCCCCCACACTTCCTGACACACTGCAACCCAGAACTAGAGGATGAGATGTTATAGACAGAAAGATCTTTGAGTGTATCTGGCAACTGTTCAGGTGAAGAAAGGTCCCATGTCCCCATTCTAAAAGAGTAGGGAATAACTGATGTGTTGCCCAACATTTTCCTTCTCAAAAGAAGGTTTAACATCTAAATCTGCAGGTGAATTATTTTTGAATGCATAATAGCTGTTCTATTTATCTCCATGGGTCAAATGCTACCTTGAAAATCGCAGGCGCTATGTTAATCAAGTTCTAGCCTAAAGTTGTCAGCAACAGTAGGGAGTTCGAGAAAAACTCAATGTTGTCAGAACAAAAAGGCAGGTGTTTGGGCTGTTTCTGTGCCAGAGGGTTATGCACAGTTTTGAAAATTACTTGTGCAATGCCATCTGTATGAATGTAGCCTGAATAAGAAATTCTCAAGCATCAAACAGTCTTTCATGGTCGGGTTTACTTTTTATTGTTTAAATATCTTGGGAAATGGTGTCTTTCATTGGTCTGTTAAAAAAAGACTGATGGAAAACACACACCAAAAACTAATGTAGATTTTAGCTGCATGGGGAAAATTATGCACAGACTGCCTTGTCACTTGGTCAATTACACAAAATATTAATGCTGTAAATTGTGACTATGTGGCCAATTAGACTGCTTTAAACTGCTAAACTCAGAGAGAACAAGCCACTTGTTAACATAAATGTCACATGCTTTATGAAAGGTAGAACAATAATATCCCTTCAAGTTGCTGTAATGGAGATTTGTTCACCTCTTCATACAGAAACCATTACTGCAACAACATACAAAAGTGCTGCAGTGGTAGCAAACTCAGAACAAATACAACATGAATGTCTTTTCAAAAAAATCAGGAACGTTTTAAGAATAATTTTTAAACAAAGTAATCACCGAGTATAGCAATCATAAATGCAACTGACCGTTCCATGCAAAAAAAAAAAAAATTGCCACAACCGCAATGTACAGAAGTTCCCTACCTAACAGAGTTCAGGGGGACTTTAAAGTATAGTCTTGGGCTAGAGATGTCAACAATGCTCAGGCAGGAAAATGTTACACTCACCATCTGAAAAGCTGTGCTGCAGCACAGTTTCATTAACGTTTAGGGTGATAAAAAGCTATTGTTAGGCTAGTGGAGAACTGAATTATTGCTTGGATTGCCCCCAACTTATTCTAAACCACTGTAAGAGGAGTTTGACCAAGAAATGTAATGAGTTTCCAGTAAATTTGCAAATGGACACTGTTAAGCACAATTGGAATATTTAAGTCATATACCTTGTGTTCCTTATAAATCCCAAGCTCCTTCTCTTTTGCTATTCTTGCTTCTTTCTCTGAAAGATGACAGAAAGGTAGCCAGCATGAAGGACAGGTATCAGATTGCTTTTTGTGACATGTAACCAGAGACAGCATTTCAGTTATTATGCTTCTTACCCTTTTGTTCCTTCAAATAATCCGCATTTTCTTTCATCCACAGTTCTGCTTTTATTTGAGCTTCCGTTTCATCAAGTATATACTAAAAACAAAATAAAGTTCATTTCTTTTCAGCTACTAACCTGAAAATGGTAGGCAAAATACAGTGAAAAAATACAGGTAAGAGCACTTCACATTCAACCTTATTTATAGAACTAGATTAATGAAGGAAAGTTTGTTCAAGGGGAAATAATGGGATAATAAAGAAAGAACCGACAAACACTAGCTAGCACAATAAGTTAGTATTTTAGTCCTTCCACTTTGGAGATCTGAGTTCATTCAAATTATATTTTCAGTTCTACTCATTCAGTTTCACTCAAGTCACTGGAGTTGTGTGGGGCAGGGGAACAGACCAAAATGTGGTCCAGAAATTGCAATATTAAAGTGGCATGATGAATCTCATCCTAGCTTTCAGTTATGCAGATTACAATACCAATCCAATATTAGGTTCAGCACAACTAGTCTTTGTGTAACACTGGTTCCTGATTGCAGGTTGGGAATGAGGAACATTGGTAAAGCTGTGAGGAGAAACTGGATCAAGCCATTACTATTCATCTTTTTATGAACATTTTTTAAAAAAAGTATTTTGTGGATGCATTAAAAGAGTACAGCCAAGTAATGTAAGTGATACTAGTTTTAAGTGCTAATAAAACAGCTTGATTCTCTAGCAATTTATTCCTTTTACCATTTCAGATTTTTTTCAAAATAAAATATACACTCAAGTAGTTTATGAGAAAAATAATTCAACTCTAATGAAACTGATGCAAGGAATCGTCTTTCACATTGGAACAAACTTGGGGAAAAAACATTTGTTCTAATACCAGTTTACCTGGCCAATATTTTCTCAGTTTCATCCGTGTGTATTAAATTTGGGTCATAATAATGAAAACACACTCACTCATAGCTCAACTATTCACCCTGCTTGCATCAGAGTTATGGCTTAACTGCAGAGTCTAGCAGGAAGAGAAGATGGGTTTGTTCCTTCCCAGCTTCTGTTTAAATTATGGATCTATTCTGATGAGTAACTGAAATTGGCATGGAGGGGTTTTGTATTTACTGTTTCTGTTACTTCCATAGCACATTCATTCCTTTCCATATTCTTCCTAACTGCCTGCTTGGCAGACACAGCCTGGGTGCTGAAAGTCAAGCGGGGCTCTCTCCTGCTCATCCATCACCAAAAATAAAAGATTCTGCAGATCAAATTATATTCTCAGTTACATGTATGCAACCCCATTGTTTTCAGTTATTTCAGGACATGAAGAGGAATTTATAGCACCGGGTTTTGTTTGGTTTTTAACTGCACTTTTTATTTGTAAGCTTAGCATGGTCTAGTGGAGAGGGCACCAGCCTGGGAGTCAGGAGACCTGGATTCAGGCACTGACCTGCTGTGTGACCTTGAGCGCGTCACTTCACTTCAGTGCCTTTGTTTCCCTTTCAGCCACCATTTGTCTATCTTGTATGTTTAGGCTGTGAGGCAGGAACTCTTTCACTGTTTGCACAGCACCTCGCACAAGGGCATCCTAGCCTGGGCCTAAAACTGGGAGAAAATTTTTGGCCCAAACTCCCCCCGCAAAAAAAAAAGGCAGATTTGGGTCGCCTGAAACATTTCATGAATTCATGTCGATACTGGCAGTGTTTTGGTGAAAATGAAAAAAGAAAAAAATTCAGAAATGTCAAAACAGCTCCTTTTTCACATTATCGAAATGAACTATTTTGGTTTTTCAGGCAAGATTCACAAGGCGAGTTAGGCACCATTCACAAAACTGAGGATGTGGTCATGCGCCCTTTATGCCCAATAGCCCAGAGGTTAGAGCACTCATCTGGGATGGGGGAGACCCATTTTGAATTCCTGCTCTAGAGTAGGGATTTGAACCCAGGCCTCCCTACTCCCAGGTGAGTGCCCTCACCACCAGGTTATTAGCAATTGTAGGATGGGGCTCTCAATTTTTCCTGCTGAAGCTGTTTCACTTTGTATGAAATACTTGACTAGTCTGGGCCAGAGAGCATGTGAGAGACTCTATAGCTCAGTAACCAGGGCACTCTCCTGGGAAAGGAGAGATCGAGGTACAAGGCCCTGCTCCAATGAATATTTAATTGTTTATACAAAGTGGAACAGCTCCAATAGGAGACACCCCCCCCCCCAGCCCAGAATACACTATATCTTTGCAGCAGACCCAGGTTTGAATCCCCACTCAGGAGCAGAGACTGGACGCCAGGTCTCTTGACCCTCATGTGGACACCCTACTCACTGGGCTACTGGCTTTAAAAGGGGGTGGGGATACCACCACCCCTCCTTTAGTTCATTTCCTTTGCTTTTATTTTTAAAATGTTTACAATGCCAAAAATCAAAACAAAATGTTTTGTTTGACCCAAAACAAAATATTTCTGAATGTTTTGACTAGTCAAAAATTCAAAAAAAAAAAAAAAATTGGCTTTGATTTAACCGCCCCCCCGCCCCCAAGTTTTCTGGAACTAACAGCTAACCAAAAAATCAGTTATTCGCCCAGCTCTGCTACACTTTACTGTCACACAGGCAAATAAAATAAACTGAGTAAGGGTTATGGAAATCATTGAGACAACACAGGAGCCCAGAATGCCATTTTACAGTCTCTTTCCAGGGCAGCACCACACCTTGAACATATCTTCAACAAGTAACTACGTGATGCATTTCATACTAAATGAAACTTAAGATCCTTCCTCTCTAAAATAAAATACATTTCCAATAACAATTACTCCAACATGATGAGAAATGGCAGCAGTAACAACATACTACAATTTTATAATATCTTGCAGCGAATGAGCTAGAGTGTAACAGATTGGCCACGTGCATTAGTTTTGGTACCAGATTCCCATAATCATGGGCATTAACTCCTGACCATCTATATGCATTATAACCAAGTTCCATCAACGTGGGAGGTTGGGGCATGGGAAGATAAACCACATAAGACAATATTTTTCTTCTAAGATCAGATTGTAAATAGATAGAATAAAAATATATCTTACCCTATCTATTTCAGTGTCGTCAATTCCACTAAGATCTAGTTCACCATCTCCTGTATTTTCATCTAAATAAAAGCAATATAAATTTTAGTTAAGATGCATATTCATTGAATGTCCACTCCAATTCAAGTTCTGCTTTTAATTGTATCTGAAGTATAGTATTGGTTATATTGGTTTGTTAACAAATAATCACCTTTACAGAGGAGATGTACTGCACTTTGTGTGTGTGTGTGTGTGTGTGTGCGCAAATTGTCACCACAGTAAATGAATTCTGACTATACGCTCCAATCCAGTCATTTCTCTACTAATTGCTTCACAGAGAAGAGCTAAAAATATTACAGTAATTTTCAGTAGGCTTTTTTTTTTAAATTTGCAGCAGCAACAGATGTTTGCTATTAAGTTGGTGAAATCACTGGAGTAAGATGATTTGATTTTTCTCTTGTCATCACAGGAATTTCTCCATCACAGTCAAATGGGCCATGAATCCTCTGAAAGTTATGATTAAGAAAATATTTTCTGTTATCAAAGAGGCAGCGTGGTCTAGTGAATAGGGCACCAGGCTGGGAGCCACACTAGGGTTTTATTCCTGGCACTAACTCACCCACCATATAACCTTGCGTGTGACATGAAAACTTAGGTGCATTCGTTTTCCCATATGTTAAATGGGGATTATAGAGTTTACCCACCTTTGGAAAGCACTTTGAGATCTATGAATAGAAAGAACTAATTAAGTGCCAGTATTATCAGGTCTCCACTATAAAGTACTAGAGTGTGCACAAATTCATTTGTACTTTTGCTTAGGCTCTTATTTTTAATTGACATCTTTTGAAAACATAACCACACTTTTATTATATCCATTAACCAGAATAACTAGACAAAATAGATGCCTAAACTAGGAATGACAGAATTTGCAGGGGCAGAAACTGATCTTCCTAGATCATTATAAAACACTTTGCAGAGAGAAAGTGGAATGTTATCATGTGCTCAAGGATTATGCTGGAGAAGGAAGATCATCCCCCCAAGTTTAATCAACTATGGGCAACTGCTGATTTGACTAGTTTCCAATGTACTGTGTGGAAAATCAGACAGCTTTATCATTCTGAGAGACAGCTTACAGCAGCAAAATATTCAATAAAATGTTGAGGGCCAGTCTGGTGTCTTTGTGGTTACAGCTCCCTAATAATTTTCAAGACACTTGAGTTTGACTCCCTAGACTGATCTCGCACTCCCAGACATCTGGGTATTGAGAAGTGCAGAGAATGAACATCGGTACTAGAAGGAAAGGAATTCTCGTATGGCTGATGGGTTTTGATGAAAGTTCCAGTCAGTTCCCTTTGATGAGATGGTAGGTTATCACAATACAGGGCCTTGAGAGTTGTGAGGAACAAAACGGTTAAAACAAACAAGGGTAGGAATCATCAGTGTTCCAGAAAGAGACAAAGAATCCCCTGAATAAAAAAAAAACAAAACAAAAAACTAAACTGGCCACTTGTACTACATGAAATCAGTGACAGGAGCCCAAAGCAAGTGGACAATTGTAAATTGATGAAGGGTGGGGTTTTCAAATTGGTATATGGGAGCTGCATGTCCAACTCCCATAGACTTTTAAAATAAGTTGGGCCCTTAACACTTTTATGCTTATTGGAAAATATCCTAAATAACCAAAATCAGGTGTTCCCTCCTTCATTTAAACTATATATGAAGTCAGTTTCCCTCCAATTAATAATAGTGATTTGGAAATTGTTGCTATCCCAAGCAATCCCATAACTTTCTCTAACTTTCTTCTGAGACAGCCTCATAAATGAAAACATTATGCTGGTGCAGATGTTATGTAAATACAATGGCTGAATATGCCTCAAGAAAGGTTTCTTACCACTATAATATTGTGGCTTTAAACTTTATGATAAATTCAGCAAATGCTACAAAGGTCTTAGGTCTCAACATGTGAAAGTTGTACACCACAACTTTAATAAAAACATTTTAAAACAATATTTTTAATTATTCCATACTAACATGTATGAACCTGCTTTTCGTCAGTTCGCTGCATCATAGTACAAGAGTGAAATTTCAGCTGCAGAATCACAGAAATGTAGGGATGGAAGGGACGTTAAGAGATCATCTAGTCCAGCCCCCTGCACTGAGGCAGGACCACCTAAACCTAGACAATCCTTGACAGGTGTTTGTCTAAACTGTTCTCAAAAATCTCCAATGACAGGGATTCTAATCTCCTATTCCAGAGCTTAACTACCCTTAGAGTTAGGAAGTTTTTCTTAATCTGTAGCAAGGGAGATTTAGGATAGAGATTAAGCCCATTACTTGTTGTCCTACCTTCAGTGGAAAACAATTGATCAGAGTCATCTTTATAAGGGCCCTTAACGTATTTGAAGACTTAGCAAGTTCCCCCCTCAGTCTTCTTTTCTCAAGACTATACATGCCCAGGTTTTTTTTAACCTTTCCTCATAGGTCAGGTTTGCTAAACCTTTTATCATTTTTGGTGCTCTCATCTATATTCTCTCTCCAATGTGTCCACATCTTTCTTAAAGATGTCCTAGAACTAAACAGAGTACTCCAGCTGAGGCCTCACCAGTGCTAAGCAGAGTGGAACAATTACCTCCCATGTCTTACATACCACACTCCTGGTAATACACCCCAGAATGATATTTGCCTTTTTTGCAAATGCATCAGATTGTTGACTTATATTCAAATTGTGATCCACTATAACCCCCAGATTCTCTTCAGCAGTACTATCACTTTGCCAGTTATTCCCCATTTTGTAGTTGAACATTTGATTTTTCCTTCCTAAGTGAAGTACTTTGCATTTGTTTTTATTGAATTTCATCTTGTTGAATTCAGACCTATTCTCCAATTTGTCAAGGTCATTTTGAATTCTAACCTCGTCCTCCAAAGTGTTTGCAACTCCTCCCAGCTTGGTACTATCTGCAGATTTTACAAGCACACTATCCACTGCATTATCTAAATCATGAAGGAAAACATTTAACAGTGCCGGATTCAAGACTGACCCACTACAAACTAATGCCAGTAGATATGCTCTCCCAATTTGACAGCAAATGATTGATGACTACTGGAAGGTGGGTGCACAGTTGGTTGAAAGACTGTACTCAGAGTAATTTCATCTAGACCATATTTCCCTAATCTGTTTATGAGAATGTCACGTGGGACTGTGTCAAAAGCCCTACTAAAATTAAGATATATCACATCTACAGCTTCCCCCCAACCACTAAGCCAGTTACCCTGTAAAAGAAGGAAATTAGGTTGCTTTGGTATAATTTGCTCTTGATAAATCCATGCAAGCTATTCCTTATAACCCTATTCTCCATCAGGTACTTAAAAATTATGTAATAGTTTGTTCCAGTATCTTTCCAGGCAGCAAAATTAGGCCGACTGGTCTATAATTTCCTGGGCCCTCGTTGTTCCCATTTTTAAAGATAGGTGCGATGATTGTTCTTTTCCAGTCCTCTAGGACCTCACCATCCTCCATGAGTTCTTGAAGATAATTACTAACAGTTCTGACATTACTTCAGCTTGTTTCTTAAGTACTATAGGATTAATTTCCTAACCGAATACATCTAACGTATCTAAATATTTTAACCTATTATTTCTCTATTTTGCTTGCGTTCCTTCCGGCTTGTTGTTAATATTAATTGTGCTAAGAATGGGGTCATAATTCATCTTTTTAGAGAACACTGAAGCAAAATAAGCATTAAACACCTTAGCTTTCTTGACATCATCTGTTAGTAGCTTTTCTTCCCCCCTAAGCAGAGGACCAAGACTTTCCTTTGACTTTCTCTTATTCCTTATGTATTTATAGCTATCCTGCCTACAATGTCATTAAAATCCTTATTCATAATAATGTGGGCCCAATTCTGCCCTCAGAGCAATTCCCACACAAGTCAGTAGGAGTTTGATCCATTGAGGGCAAAATCTACTATAGTGTCTACTATAGAGCCACATCACTTCTTTAACCATACCAGGCACTCCCTCCAAATTTATCAACCTTTTATCCCTACTCCCTAATATGACATCAAAGGGTAGAGAGGACGACAATACAGAACCATCCCACACTAACCAGAAAAGAAAATTGTTCTGTTGCAACCTCTTCACAACATTCGTGATGCTGGCATATTCGTGGTGAGTGTTTGAAGAAAATGCTTCTCTTTTAATTACTTTTTTTAAAAGTAACCTACAAAAGCAGGTTTGGACATTTTATACTCCTCCACCACCACCCCGCACATACCAAAACAATCCAGTATGAGAGGGTCATCTTTTTTTATGAAAATAAAGTGAATAGCCAATATTTTCAAGTAACTAGTACTCTGGGGTGTGCAACTTAAGTTATATTAAAGAGGCGTGACTTTTAGAAAGTGCTGAACTCCCAGTCTCTGAACGTCTAAGCCCCTTTAAGGTAGCTCAAATTAGGACCCAGAACTGAAGTACCCAAAATCATCAGTCACTTGTGAAAATCTTGGCCAATAAAATTAAACTGTTTCTATGGTGCCAACTCACAGCCCAACTTACATAAAATTCTGTGCATTACAAAAACTGTCATAGCAGCTCAGAACCAGTAAATAAATGCACATGGAAACCAGAATGCAGCTGTTTTTAAATACTTCAGCTTCCCTAAATTCTGCCACCTTTTTGGATCAGAGATTTGGTGCTTGTCTACACACACAGCACTGCAGCGGCGCAGCTGCACCACTGTAGCACTTATTTAAGATGCTACCTACGCTGCTGGGAGAGATTCTCCTGTTGGTGTAGGTACAGGAACGCCTCGTTTAACGTTGTAGTTATGTTCCTGAAAAATGCTACTTTAAGCAAAACGATGTTAAGCAAACCCAATTTCTCCATAAGAATTAATGTAAATGGGGGGGTTAGGTTCCAGGGAATTTTTTTTCACCAGACAAAAGACTATATTTATTTTATATTTATATCTTTTTATAGATAGATATAGATATACTGTGTGTGTGTGCGTGTGTGTGTATAAGTTTTAAACAAACAATTGAATACTGTACACAGCAATGATGATTGTGAAGCTTGGTTGAGGTGG